GGGTGAAGCCATCTGTAGTATTTAGTGAGGACAGAGATGCATTCTTAAAACTGAGGCACATATTCATATCCCAGTGATTTTGAATTGCTCATGTGAGCAGCCTCCCTATACTTTAGTGATGACAATACTACCACCTCTCCTGGATTTAAATTCTGTTCCCATAGCAATTTATGTTACCTATTGACTTTCTCCTTTGAAGCTCACACATTACTCTAAGGGTTATAGAGATTTTAGGAAGTCCCTCTTCCATTAGACACGTTTTTCCTCAGATGTTATATTTTCCAGAGGCTGATTTTTTAACATTAATAAGCATTGGAATATGGTACACTTCTGGCTGAAATACTTAAAAATGACCTGCTCCACTTCCAAGAGAGGCTCCAAAATGTAATACCAGTGTTCTGTGGCAACTGAAAAATGTGAATTTTGAGCTTCCTTCTTCGAGCTCTTGGCAGCAGTGCTAGGGCTACCTGGTGTAGTAGGTGCTGCTCAGGGCTGGTTCTGTGAGCACTGGAAGAGTGGGGTTAGGAAGAAGCAGGTGATTCCTGTCCTCCCTTGTCAATGGCATCACTATCTGATTTAATCCTCCTGCCTGAGGAAGAGGAAGGAAGGTGTGCTAATACAATCTGATCTCAAGCTTTTCCTCTATAAATTACACCACCATGAGGTGTTTTGAGGAGGATGTTTGGAACCTCACAGGCAAGTCTTAGTAACAGAGCCACTGTTTGTGATTTAACAATTCAGAGTACTCCAATTCTGGTGCAGGCTGGATCAAGCTACCCCAGCTGGCTGGCTGGTTCTTACAGGCTGTCTATTTGACAGTCCTGCTTCTAAAAATATCCCGAGTTGGATTTACAACACTGACCTCCCTGATAAATAATCCTTTACTATCGCTCTCCCACTCACACAGAACACGTCTGCAGTTGAAGAAATGACAGTAGCAAGAGGAGACTGGTGTTTCAGAACTTACAGCTTCTCCCTTTTGTCTTGATTTTCTTGTATTTTTGTGTTGACTTTCTCAGCAGCTTTTAGCAGCAGCAAAAGTAAATCTGAGTTTCAAACTGTGTGTACAGCAATACATGTTCATTTATTCAGATCCTGTTCTCACTTTCATTTTAATTCTTCTGTAGCAAATGAAATAATTGTGTGTTTATAAACGGCCATGAGTTTTTGGAAGGGTGGGCAAAGAAGAAATATATATTTTTTCATGTGTTGTGGACTATGGTTTCTTGTTTGAAAGTCTCCAGCCACTGTGTTTGTGAAAAGTGCATAACCCCAAATAATTAAGCTCCTTGACTTTCTGCCTTGGCACTGATAAGGCTACCACAATGCACAGTCCCAAACTGATTGGAGATCTCCTGCAGCACATTTTTCATTTTTATGCTTAGGAAAAAAAATTGACCATAAAAGTTTTTTATGACTTTGCCACATGGTAAAGTTAAAGGGTTCCATTTTCACCGTGAACCTTTTGGAGGTTGTTACCTTTTCATTTTAACAAGGTAGACTGTGCCTGAGCTACAGCACTCAGTTCTGCTGTTTGAATGGAAACCAGGCTTTTTCATTAAATGATACAGACTCTGAAGCATGAAAACCTGTTTTGCATAGAGGCATTAGGCAGCAGACACAAATGATTGGTGTCTTAGTTGGAGACTCGGCTTAGGCCAAGATTTTTTTTAATCATTATAATACAGTAGGATGCTCATGCAAATAGGGAATTAAACTCACTCGAGCCCATATCATAAGGACAAGTAAATACTCCATTTATTTATATAAGCATTCCAAAGCCTGCCTGCCTTTCCATGTTACCAGTGCCAAATATATTGATAATCTGATACACTGTTTTGAAGCCCTTAAAATCAGACTATTTAAATATTAGTTCAATTATTCTGTCTACTGAAGTGATAACTGGGGGCTAAAAAGTAACCAGATTATTGTAGAGATCTCTCTTGACAGCCTTTAACACCTAGTTATAAGTTAAAGCCTGGAAATTACAAGCCTCTCGATATCATTCAGTCCACAGTACATTCTGAAGCAATTTTCTATTCCTAGGCTATTCTTCATGCCATCATACCACTCCAGTGCTCTCCAGCTTGCTCTCAGTGCCTGCCCACTTGCAGAACTAGGCAATAAAGGTCCCTAAAATAAACTTCTTCCTCAGTGTGGACATCAGGTAGGATTTTCAGATGTGTAAAGAACATTGCAGCTGGTTCAAGGTGGATTTGGGCTATTTAAAGGCTTCTGCTTTGTCTGGACTTGAATTTAATTTAGGCCTGAGCCAATCTAAGTCTCACAGTGCTGGGAGAGAGAGGTGCTTGCCCTATCCCCTGCCCTCTCCCCAGGCACCCCTGTCTCTCTGGAGCATCCTGATATGACTTGGAAAGCTCAGTGAAAATGAGGGGAGAGACATGGATGGGAATGGAAGAAAGGAGCAGCAGAAATAATTCTGATTGTGATCTACTGGAATAGATCACTCTTCTTGGGTAACTTGGGAATTGTTTCCTCAGTGAAACAGAGGTTTCTGGAAAGCCCAGAGGGTTTGTCTGACACAGCAGTAATGGGGGTAGTGCCCTGGAAACTCAGTCTGCTATTTGCAGTCACATAGTTCTGTCCTGCAATGATTTTTCCCTGGTTCCTAAAGCCTATGCCAGCAAATATTCCTTGCTGTTCTTACCTGCACAAGCTAAATTTGACTAATAAACCTAGGAAGTTATTTTTCTTTATCCCATCTCCACTGACAGCATTATCCAAGGCAGGATAATAGTAACTCACAGCAAGCCCTGAAAGCACCTGTGACACCACCAAGACACTCTCCCAGGAAGTCACCTGGTTTGTTGACAGCTTTCCCCCTCTCATTGCTGGGAGATATAGATGTTACATCCCCCAGAACTGAAAGCTTGTGGAAGATCACTCATTTATACAGGCAACACTTGTATGGGTGGATGGACACTCAAAGAACTCCATCGGGTTCCCTTCCCTGGAAATCTGCAACCATTGATTTGCATCTGGGCTTGTACTTTGGAAGTGTGTTGTAGAAGTAAGACTTAACTGTGCAGGTGTAGGCTTGAATTAGTAATTAATGCTTGACCTTGCTGGAGCTCATCTGTCCACCTGCCCAAAAAAGCTTTTGAAACCTTGAAAAACACAACCTCAAAGGACAGAATTCATCTCAGTAACTGAAAGGGAGTCCTTGAATCTCAACTACTCTGTCTGCTGTTTGTGCTTTGTTGTCAAGGGAAATGCATCTGCACAGAGTGATTTGTCCTGTCTTAAGAGACCCAGCTCTGGATATCAGCACTGATTAATCCTCCAAAGGTATTGAGCTCATCTATTCACTGTGGGAGGATTCAGACAACAAGATGAATCCTGCACACACTGCAGATCCAGCTGTGCCTGTCTGACTGACTGACTGACAGCAGTTTCCACTTTCTGCTTTTATTAAGAAATGTTGAAGTCTCTGTTAGAAAACACCAAATATTAATAGTACTTCAGAACTCTTACTTTCAAAACTGGGAGAGCCTAGCTAATAGCAATTAGTGTTGCCAAGCAATGCTTTACATTTTGTATTGTTATAGTATAGGACTGATTAATTAAAAACTTAAAAATTCTTTTAAAAGCATCTGAAATGGTGGTGATACATCACAGGCGCCATGGTATGTTTCAACTTGATTTTTGCTTTCATGTTTAGTCAACTTTTTTTTGTTTGAATATTGCTCTTCTGTATCTGAACAGCAAAGACCTTGTTTACTACAGCTTCCTTTACTTTCAGTGTTTAAAGGAGCAATACATGATGATTCACTTACAGAATTTAACAAAGGCAACCAAAATCAGTTATGTAATACATTAGTAATTTTACAAAAAAACTGCCACAGGCTATATGTAGCTTATAAAACAAAGCCAATGATTACCATCAATTATAGCATCATCATGCAGCAATTAATGTCTTACTCTTAAATAACTGCTATTCCTCAGTGCTAAAGAAAATACCACACATTAACTGACTCATCATCAGTCTGTGATGCATAGTACAGCTGTTAATTTGATTACTCATCTCTGAGAAAAGAAGTGCTTTACAATGAAAAAGCTGTTCTTTTTTGGTATTCTGAAAGAATGGTAACAGAGTGGCTTTAAAAATAATCCCTACATTAACACAGAGTTATTGTGAAGCATTATTTTGAGTTGTAGAGTTGGATGCTGTGTAGTTCACAGCCACGGCCCAAGCTGGATGTTGGTACTGCAAACCTCATGCACCTCTTTTGTGTGAAAATGTAAGAAAGAAAATATAAGAACATTCCCTATATAAGGAAAATGGAAAGATCCCACTTTGTTTGTCCCAGAAAGTCTGCAAACTTTATTGCACATCTTGAAAAAGTGCTCAATCTAAGCCACTAAAATTTATCCAGCAAGAATACTGGGCCATTCTGGAATAGGTATCAGGATCAAGAAATTATAGTCTTTCCTGGAACAGGAAATACGTGTTATAGATACATATTTAACATACACCATGAGTATTCTGCCAGAGACTACATGTTCAGTTAACTTTATTTCTTGAGCAGAATTCTGTGGACTCATCTCCAGAATCAAGTATCACCTTGTTTTTGCATGAATCACAGGCAGAATGGTACTCAATGTAAAGTTTTACAGATCAGTGAGAGGCAAAAGTAGCACCTCTATAGGAATTTGAACCACTTCCAGCATTACTTTGTAGTTAACCTCATAGTTGCCTTTACAAGAGACAAAAAGGCCCCATCCAAAAAGACCCGATTACTCTGTAAGTAGCATAGATAAGGATAGAGGGTGTCTCTATATACAATAAACATGGCAGTATCATTTGTAGATGTGAGTAACAAAACTCGCAGTGCTTGGTTAAAATAGGAAAAAATAATCCCTTGATTTTCAGACTGGCTACAGGAAAAAAAAATTTTACAGATTAACTTGCAAATACCTTCAGGCAGAAATAAGAGGTGGGTAATTCCTAGTGGTACCACCCCCCCACAGTGACATACCTCCCCAGAGAAGGCCTGGCCATTGAGGAGGTGCTCTGATCCCTGGCTGTCCTCGCTGCCAAAGTGTAACCTGATTTCCTCCAGGCGGTGACTGTAGGTCATTGGGCCCCCAGAGATGTTCACCAGGTGCTCCTTGTCTAACCGCAGGGACACGTGTCTCCCTGTGTTGTACATCGTCCCACTGACCTAAACCAAATGGAGAAAAAAAAAAAGAGGATTTTTTTCAAAGTAATCTGCAAATCTTACAAACTGCTTGGAGATTTTGCTCTTTACACACCTTCACTCAAATACAGCAACATGTCTTGTGGTTGTGAGATGAAATAACCAATCTCAGGTCACACTTCAATTTCTGCTTTGAACCTTACACTGTGTATTCAAACGTTTTGCTAAAGCCCTATATACACATTTTAGCCTTGGGCTCACATGCTGAATAGGACTGTTGCACTTCTAATTAAGTAGGTTTTTAGAGTACTTTTCATGCCAGGTCTCAATAATGGCTTCATTTCAAAATTTCTGTACTGGAAATGGGAACATTTCAGCGGACATAAATGATTAAAGTACACTTGAACAAATCTGAAATATAATTTTCCCCCTTCTTTTAATATTTATAACAAAGTTACCCAAAAGTAAAGGTTTTTTGCAAAAAGCAAAGATGCAATTATTCATTAATAGGGAACTCTGTGCCTCCTGGAGCTGCAGGTAAAAACTTTCACTGTCTTCCCATACAAGTCTCTTTGTTTTGTTATAAATATTTTAGGTGTACAACTGCCAGATCTTTTAGCCAGAGAAGTGCTGAATTAATTGCAATTTGATTATATATGTTTAGTTCCTACTACACATCAAATAGCTCCTTGACATTCATCTTTATTTTTAAAAAGGCTGAATGTTGCGCTTCATTTGCAAACTGATTTACAGCTCCTGTGATGAAAAAGAAAATGATTGGACATTTTTGATATGGAATATAATTCTGTCGTGATTTCCACTGTCTTAGAAAAAGTTTCTGGACCAAGAAGTTCTCTAATTTATGCTAGTAGAAAGTCAAATATGCCAGTTTGAACTGAAGTAGAATTATGATTTATTAAAAAACATTCTGCATGGATACTGATGTACACTTGAATAACATTAACTTAAGAAGTAGAAGTTGTTGCTACAATATGCTTTGTTGCACTTCAATTTAAAATTAAAGACATGACTATTATGAATTATATCCTATACCACATCAGTGCTATGGTAAATAACATTGCTGCAGTGTCATTTTATCTATAATACTAATTACTGAGTTTAAATGACCTGTTTTCTTGTACAGTATGTTGTAAAAAGTTACACTGAACAGACTGTGCACTAGAACTAAATGGAGGAGATTAAACGGCTTTTGATTGTTCTGGTTCTTTACACTTTGATACAGATGTTCTACTTTTTTTGGTATTTATTCCAATCTAAAATAAGCAGTAATAAATTTCTTATGAAAAGTCATAAAGGCAGATATTTCTGTTCACTGAAAATAAACCACAATGACTTTAAAAATGCTTACTTTTTCTACTTGACTTTGCATGCATAATAATTAAATAACAAGTTTAGCTTAATAAGTGGAAGAAGGTCAGTTTATTGAACTTGGTTTCAGTACACTGCATATAAATGACGCAAAATTGCTAATCATAAGTAACAAATGTAGTTAAAAAACAAACAGAGGAAAATGGTTAAAGCCTCTTATTCACATTTGGAAGCTCATGCTTCACTGAACCCTCAGTTAAATTCAGCAGCTATGCAAAATATTCAGAATCCAATTTCTTACTTAAATTGGCATAAATCTCAAATGAGGTTACCATTATTTTCTCTCTTTTAGTAAAACTCACCCAAATAACGTCTAATGTGAATCAAATCACTCTTCACAGAACAGACAGGGGAAATGATAAGAGGCAAATTCATGAACAGGAGTAACATTTGTCTTTCTTACTTTCCCCTTCATAAAAATGCTCACAATGACATGGTACTGACCTTTTGGAACCAGATTTTTCCTGCATAGCTGCAGACTACAAGAATAAGAAACCAGAATAAAACCTCCAGAAACCTTTCCTCCCCCTACCCAACTTTTCCCAACTGACAATGTAGAGACAAAATGGGATGTTAAAACAGTACCAACTATACAACAGTCTTTACATCAATCTTTGTAGGGAGAGGAGTTTTCTCTTGTCATTCCATGGAGAGTTCTCCAGAAGAAACAGTTCTCTCGTGGCTTTTCATTTCTATGAATAGCAGCCACCCGGGCACAAATTCTGCCATCCTGACATCTCTTCCCATTTTCACAACCCTCTTAGATGTGTCCATGGGCCATGAACTCAAGGGGTATTATTTTAAGGATGTGTTATTCAAAGGCAAAAGTTCTTCATCAGCTCTCATCCCTCTCTCTCTCTGTTCAAGTGTCTCATGGGATCACAGCTTCTCCACCATCTGCTTAGCTTCATCAATGGATACTTTGCTCAGATCTACAGCTTGAATACTTCATTCCCCCAATACTCTTTCATGAATTAAAGGAGATTTATTGTCCATCTCTATGGCCTAATCAAAAGAATATTTTAGCCTATTAGAGCGTCTCCTCATTCTCCTTCCATCTGAGGCTTGACTCCTTCTTTTACTGACATTGATGTTTCATGTTGTCTTTCTAGGTGTTGATTACTCTTTTTCTCTTCCTGGGGGGAAAAAAGATCTGCATGGGTCTGCAGATCTCATCTGTGTAATGAAAGTGTTAAATCTCTTGTCCAGTTTTGTGGATGGTTAGGTGATCTCTGCCAGGGCTGCAGCTTGATGGCTTCCCCTTCCCTGCCTGGAACTTTCTGGTAAAACTCAGCAGCAGCAGAATTTCAGCCAAGCTGAGGCTGGCCTGGCCCAGCAACGCCACTGGAAAGGGCTTGCTGGGCTCTCCAGGAGGGCTCAGCCACCTGGGAAGGGTCTTTGGCCACCCCACCAGAACAGGACCTGGAGAGCTTCCCAGGAGGGCCCACAGCAGAGCCCGGCCTGGGGCTGCTCCCCTCAGTGTCCATCCCCTGCCCTGGGGCTGCTCCCCTCAGTGTCCATCCCCTGCCCTGGGGCTGCTCCCCTCAGTGTCCATCCCCTGCCCTGGGGCTGCTCCCCTCAGTGTCTATCCCCTGCCCGGGAGCTGCTGGGGCCCGGCCCAGCCTCCCCCTCAGGCCGCACAGGCCGGGGGGCAGCGGGGCAGGGCACACCAGGGCTCTGCTACCTTTTAAGGCCAGAAAGAAAGAGAGAGAAAATCCCAGGATTGGGTTTTTATAAAGTGGTATTCACAGAGGCAGACCTACATTTCAGTGGTGCAAAATGCTGTCAGTTCTCAGAACTGGCCAGCTATTAGCCTATCTCAAGCACAGAACAAACTCCCAGCAGCTCCTCTCAAATAAATCACTTCTGTGGGTGGTTCTTATTGCTTTCCCTAAATGTCAAACTACCACAAGAAGTTAACAAGTAAATATTTTCTGCACTTTGTACATTACCTTACAAAGTAAACAGTATGGAGAATGGGCATCTTATGGGAAAGTTGTTGCCCTTTCCTGGTACAGTCAACAGTCTCTGCTATTCCAGAAAGCTCAGTATTTTTTTTTATATGTGAACTGGATAAAATGTTATAGGGTAGTTTAAAAGGCTCGTATAAAAGACCTGTTAAGATCTATACAACTATTTCCTTAATTTGTCAGATGGATTTCAGGTGCTTCAGCATGGCGGACTTTGTGCTGACTCTTGCTCTGCTTTGTTCTCTGTGTGTTTGACTTGAAAGTCACACAAAGATAAAAACTTAGCAAACAAAACTGGGGAAGCAATAAGCACTAAATCTTGACCTCTTTTTAGGAAAGATCAATATTCACATTTATCTTATGTGCTAGAAATGAGACTGAAGTAGAGAAAACATATTTAATCATCCATAAAGCTGGTCTGAGAAAACAGAGAAGTCCAAAATAATCCAAGTTAATGATCAGGCCACAATCTCAGTTGACCTCATTTTCCTCACAGATTTAGAAACATTTCCAAACAGGTAATATTACCCGTGGCAAAATCCCCAAGTAGAAGAGAGCACTCTCATGGGCTTCAATCTTAATTATGGAACATTTCAACTTTGGTAGGCTTTAATTAATTTATTAGCATATTCTTGATGTACTTATTTTCTATTTAATCTCATTACTTTTAATTCTTGCTTTGCAGAGCTTTGTGCACATAATTCTCCAGCAGCATTTTTCTCTCTCTTCATCTTAATGCAAGGGTATAGTTGGCTGGTATATTCCATTCTTCATTTCTCAGTGAGATCTGGATATCCTATGGTAGCTCTGTATAACTTGGCCCTGTGACCATAAAAAAAAGTCCCAATTCTGCTCTTTGAAAGGTGGAACATATGCAAAGTGAGTAAAAATGCACATCCAAGAAACACAATCTCTTTGCTGCATGTTTATCTTGAAACGTTACAGACTTTATGACCGGTAGGAAAAACCCCACAATAATAAACTCACTCAGCAAAATCCCTAAACCAAACCAAAAAAGCCACATGAAAACCAGTCCAGAAACATTTTTTTCCCCCCAGTGGTATTCTTTAACCCAGCATCTGTGGAAACTGTTTTGTTTTGTTCCAGCTATGTATCTTGTTCCATTTGTCTTTTCTTCCACAAATAGTCCTGGACAAAATACTTTTCAGAACTTCCTTTGTGGCCTACATCTTTACATTACAGCCTCTGTTAAAATAGCTATTAAAACCCTGAGCAGGAGAAAAATAAGCCTGTTTCAGGGTGAAGCCATGCTAGAAATGTGAGCAGGGAATGCAAGAGGAATGCAAGAGGAATGGGGATGGATACTTTTCAATTCCATGCTACATCTGCATTTCACAGTCACCTTCAAGGGGTGTCACAGACCCTCTGCTTCCTGGGGCTTTTACAAATAGTGAAATAGTACATTTTGGATTTATTTAAGTTAAAAGTGTGCTGAAGATTAGTTCAAATAACTTTTTTAAACTTGTATCTTGAACCTGCCATTGGAGCAGCACTGAATATAATGGAGCAGGAAAATCAATTGTGTATGGCTGCCTGCTCTGGTGTCCTTGGATCTTATCTGCAAGATTAGATGGTCCTTTCTTTAGGATGAAAATAGACACAGTCCAAAGAAGGCCTAGTGCCTTGGAGGGAAACAAATCACCA